AAAAAAAAAAAAAAAAAAAAAAAAAAAAAAATCACAAAAACTTTCAAGTACGAGGAGTTCAAAGTGCTTACGCCTCCAAAACGCCTTTGGGAATGTTCGGCTCCAATTGAACGAATTATAACCACCTGGGGGTGGCATTTCCTGCCGAAATCCCGAGGCACCACCAGCGTTACTCATCCTCCTTTCACCAAAAATCCAAATGAAGAACTAACAGTAATATTTACTGCATTAAGTAAAATATTTTTTAGGTATTACTAACACAAGCAAGTAAATCACTTATCAAAGACGGGAACAAATAAGGAAAAGGACCAGATTATTTAATCAGGCGGTCATCAATCGTAACTTTATTTCAAAAACAAAAAATTTAATCAATTTGAGACACTCCGTTGCAAAAAATGACACAAAAATTATACAAACCCTTCAACGCAACTTAAGAACTACTACAGAAAAATGAAAATCTTTCTCAGTATTGATATTTCCTCCCCTATATTAAGCTTATATATAATAATACAGCTTTACTCTTAACCTTCACTTCCTGATTTCCTATTAAAAATGCCTCATCGACGACAAAAAATGCATGATTAAATGTAATTCACTGAAACTACTGTACACCAGCAAAGACCTCATCGAGTAAAACTGCTAAACAATGAAGAATACATTCAAGACTGAAGTCACTCGAATACGAGCTTCTCGCGTTTTTTTTTTGGCATCGAGAAAGTTGGCTCAAATCCAAAACACACACACTCGCTTCAAAAACCACTACCTCAAAACCTTCAAGCAAACCCTTCACAACAACGATTCGTGAAAACACTCAATTATGACTCCAATGAGCACCGTATTTCTTCCAACCACCGGTCCAAGTATCCTATTCTGAGCTAGCTGTACTTTTTACAAGGTTTTAAGAAAACCTGGAAAAATCATCAATGAAGACTTTATAAATCAACTTTTTATTATAACTACCACTCGGGAGAAGTAAAACAATAATTTTCGCAGAAAATGAAACAGTTGAGAACACGGCGGAATAAAGGAAAACTTAAAAAAAAAAAGGATAATCGTAAAACCTTAAGAAAGAATACACTAGATTAAAATATGAAACCGTCAGCAAAACAACCAGTAAATATAGCCCATAATTCATTGCGAAAAACAATTCTTAAAGCAGAGTGCGGACTACTTTTACAGTACAATGAACATCTCACAAATTTTCTTGAACATATTTCAAACTTTTATCCTTGCTAAACAAAACCAGTAATGCAACAGAGGAACACATCAGAAAGAACCCAAAAAGTTATAAAGTTAGACTCTTGTTCAAGCGTCGAATTGAATGCTTCTTAAAACGCTGAAAGGTAAAAACAACATCTATAAGAATGGGACCTTTTCTAAAAAACGTGGAATAGTTAATTTGGCTTGACGTGTTGTTCGAATTCCTTCTCTGCAGCTAAAATGCAACTCTTTGAGCGACAGTAGAAGAAAAAATTTCGGATTGCTTACGAAAGAGAATCGATAAAAATAAGGCGACGACTAAAATAAAGTGGTTGATTAACGTACTGTTATCGGTGCTTCCTACCACATGTTCTGCCGCGAGGCTTCCAAAGCGTTTATCAATGGTACTCTGGTGTTTTAACATAAATGGTTTCACGAAATTCTGATATACTTTTTGTGCCCCCATTGTCATAGGCAGATAAAGCCACAAAAGAAAAGCGCACTAAAAATAGGCTATCAGCAATCAAAATAATGAAAAAATTCAAAAGGATTTTTTTAGAAATGTGAAAATTTGAGGCACTTACAATACTAGCACCCCTGAATCAACCGTTAACGCAGGAGAGATACATTTTAAATTATCAAAAATACATCAAGTACTATACCTTAACAAGCCAGTATACGGGGAAATATTTCGTAACTGTGGACGAAAAGAAATCGAATACATTAAAAAGTGCAAAGATAATCCAGTAAGTGAGCCAATGTGTATCATCTTCTTTTGGAGCACTTTCAACTGCTTTTATTCTAAAAACGATCAAAACTAAGCAACAATTCATTAAAGACAAAAATCATTCACCATTTTCCAAAAAAAGTGTAAAACGAAGGAAAACTGACTTGCAGTCATCAAATTTTCCAGCACAGAAAAACAGTAAGTAGAGAAAAATGAAGACTTTAAAATTACTCACGACATATATGCCGGATACAAGAAGCCAATCGTGTTGCACAACAACTCAGCAGCGTATCCGATAACGAGGTAAAGAGCATGTATAAGTATCATGCCTAAAAAATACTTGAAATTTAGGTATTTCTGAAAAAGGGTTAAACAAGTTCGAACCGAAGACCTCTAAATGTAATTAAAGGCCCAGAAGAAATACTGTGAGTGATGTATGCGCGCACTCTATAACAAATAAACATAACTTTCCAAAAAAAGATACCAACTCTAATATCTTTAGAAAATTTTGAAAAAAAAGCTTCTTGAATGCATAATTCACAAAACAACAGTCCTTTTATTTCATCAAAAACTGTCTAAAAAGATTTATCGCTGTGTCGTAAAATGAACACTCAAAAGAGATATGAACATCTAAAAGTATTAACTTTTTTCTTTATCCGATAGAAGTTTGGTAAATATTGAAAGCAGTGAAAGATGTATGGCTTGACCGCACAGCTTCAACCCCCCACAACACGAACATTAAAAATACATAGCGGTCGACTACAAAAGCAGTCATTTCCATAAACACTCTTATCAGCTTAAATAAAAGTTTTAGACCTGTAAATGTACCCCTCTTATATTCTCTTGCCCTAACTTTTTTGAAGGCTGCTCAGTTTGTTAAAGTACAGCAGATATACCACCAAATCCCAATTTTTTCAAAGCGTTTATCTTTTTTTGACCCTTATCAATGCAGAAAAAAAAAATTATATTAAATTTAACCCCCTTCAAAACAGCGCCTTCTTTTACTTTTATTCATTTATATTTCAAAATTTACCAAAGTAATCGTACATAAAAATAGTCAAAATTAAAAAACTTGCACTCACCAACGACAAGGTGCAAACGTTTTATCCCCACTGAAGTTTCGATGGTGTTCAAGGCGTCGGTGAACACATTCGGTTCATGAAGCTTCTTATCCAAGTCATCCAAAAACTTCTGAACAGCCGGCGGGATTGTAAAATGCATTTTGCCCTTAAATAGCAAATGCAAATGAATTCTAATTAAGCAGAGTATGACCACTTCAGCAAGTCATTCAAAACAATTATATGCATCGACATAGCATTTAAAAAAGGTACGTAGCAAAAGTAAAAAAAAAAGCTGCGAAGCCTAGGCAATATTGATGTAAAAAAATTAATCAACACCCCTGTCAAAAGAATTCCACAAAATCACCAATATCATACAAAAAAACCCTTTTAACAGCCCAATTAAATGCTGCTTTAAATTAATTAGACATCAACCATTAAAAAAAAAAAAAAACGAACGTTCGCTGCCATCAAAAAAATTTAGCGATTACAGCAACCTAAGCGGAGGTCAAGAAGCAAATGGTTTCGATTAATAGTCTATGATTCCAAACTCTCGAGACTAGCGTTATCTAGAGTTATCGACCTCCTAAAATAACACTCTTATGTTCACAACTTAGATGTAAACAAAAAAGACTAAAATTAAAACTAACAAAAATTACAAACAAATGAATAAGACGAAAAAGTATTGGAACGACTTGACATTTTATTTACATAACTTTGATTGCATATGCATTTTATGAGTCACGGAAATGAATGTGTGACTAAATACTAAGCTATTCAGAACCGGAAACATACACCGGAGAAAAAATTTTATTGCAGTTAAACTGCTACAGATTTACAGTACCATCAATCCTATATGACATTTTTATTTTTTGTCTACATTAATTCGTCTATTCTTTGCTGCAGTTACGTAAGAGATACTCAACTATGCAAACAACTAAGCATAAAGGCAACAGCATATCCAATTTTACCTCGAATTCCTCTTTAATTTTCAGTTATATCTGTCTGAAAAGAAACAAATTTGCATACATCGTTATATGTCTTTAATTTAACAGAACTACATCGAATCTAAGACGCCAACGAATGCGTGGTTTCTTAAGGCAATACTTAAAAATCGAATAAGCACAAAAACGACTCACATTTCATGGATGAAGAGCAATTAATACGGAAACATGAGTAAAGGATAACAAATACTGCAGAGCAGTTTGTGATGACCTCTTGAATAAATTTTCAAGAATAAACACCACTGAACTCAAACTACTAATAAATTCTAAAGTAAAATCCAACTGACACATAAATAATGATATGCTTATACAACTGTTATCTTACCTTTCAACTTTACGACAAGGCAGTAATTTCTATCTTTTGCCAAAGAACGTCCAATAAGGTCTCAAGTAAATGCCAAAAATATATGACAACAAACCGGGGTGTAATTTATAATCACTAAAAACTCTTGAGATTATTACAAGATCGCTACACAGTCATGAAGCTCAACAAATGCAAAAATAGAAAATGGAATCCTTTTCCTTTTCCAAAAGAAGCGGAAAAGTATTATTGGTTTTACACAGCGCTAGATGGTAAAACAATGATTCAGACACCAGGCATAGTCTTCCGAAAACAGTAATAAAAATCAAATAAAAAACATATAACCCTGTTCAAAGATGTGCGACAAAAAAGTAAACTGAAAAACTAAAACCCAGACTATTTTCCGGATAAAAATGTAACGAAGAAGTTGTGTAAAAAGTGTAAGACGTAATACAGTAACATAATCCCAACTGCTGCTGGATGGTGACACTGAAAGTAAGCAACCTCGACTGACTGACAAACTAAAGTACACAAAATACGCTACTAATTTTAAATAATTATCCATTCCCAATCACTTCTACTTAGTCTTACAATACAGTAAAGACCCACTTTGTAAGTAATATTAAAACGATACTT